CCATGTCGTGAGGAGCAGCTAAGGTGGCTAAGGCATCTGTTTTGGATGCCTCCTGGATGTCTCCCTCGGGAGGTGTTCCCAGCATGTCCCACTGGAAGGAGGCCCCAGGGAGGACCTGCTGGACACACTGGAGGGACTATGTCTCTCAGCTGGCCTGGGAATGTCTCAGGGTTCCCCCGGAGGAGCTGGAGGAAGTGTCTGGGGTGAAGGAAGTCTGGGAGTCCCTGCTTAGACTGCTGCCCCTGCGACCTGCCCCCCAGATAAGCCGAAGAAAATGGACATATGCATTTATATAATTAAGCCTCATTTGACACCAGTCTGCTACTTATTTTAAATTATTACCATTTATTTTGTTGCTCTTTTTTATTAGAATACACTGTGATGTGTGAGCTATTGTGCCAAAATAATTCCCTTGTAGATCAATAAAGTTTGTCTACGTCTAAAATAAATAAACAAGGGTAGTTTAATTACTGTATTTTTAATGTTGCAAATGTGTTGACAAGCTCTCCTAAGTTGCAGTTTCTTCTTAAAAATTATATGGGTTTTGTCTCTGCTACTTTTCACTACAATCTGCACGTACTTCATTGATGGATACACTTTGTTACCAGAAAATAGTTTCTGGAGGTAGAGAATGAACACTATAATAAATCCCACAAAGAGCACAAAGATTGATGCCTGATAGCTGATAATATCTAGTCTAGCACTTCTTCTAACTGTAATTATTTACTCGTTCTGCAGTTAGCTTGTAATGTGATGCTATATTGTTCAAAATCATAGGGAACTTCTGTTATGGAGTTTGTGTTTTCTCGGAAGTGTCTAAAAAAGTCATGAGTGCATTTTTGAAAACCACCGATCAAAACAGTGTCAGACATTGTTTTGACTTTACAGCTCAGATTCCTACTTCTAGCTCCTATATTTGAGAGTTTGATAAAGTACGGTAGACAAAAAGTGTGTTTTTTGCATTTTGTGTAGTAGTTTCAGTTTTGATGTAACTAAAGCTGCACTCTGTGACATTGTTGTTTCTTTGCATGGAATGATCCACAGTAGGGCTTTAACTTTTCAAGATAAGCCAATTACGAGTCAGGTCTGTGGAAAGGTAAGCTGGTTTGCAGTACTTTACAATACTTTTCATATACCTTTATTTTTTCAAGGTATATGAAAAGTTACACAGTAGGTAAATAAGGTAGACTATGTAACTTGATGGGTGAACTTTTGCTTACTTGTCTCCATGGAGATGTCATTGCTGTGACTGAAATGTTCCATAGTATGACATTAAACTGATCTATTTTACACCTGCAAGTAAATAAAAACACCACTGATGAAGAAAACCTCATAATTTTATACTGGACAGGGTCACTCCACAGATCTAACCTGTAACTTGGTTTGGGGGCATCATCTGTTTGTCTTGAGTTTAAGTTTAATGGTTACACAATACACAAAATGATTTCTTGTGAGCTTTAAGCCATATTAGAATGTTGTTACATCCTCAAAAACATACCTGAAGTTGTGTTTTGTTTCATTCACACATGTTTGGATGACAATTTTTTTATTAGTCTAACTACAGCTCCAAAACTCAAAATGCTCTGCTCCATCTTGTGATGTCAAGAAGCGGTGGTTTTCAAGTTAACAGCTACCTTTTACCTTTAGGTGATTAGAGATAATATAGGCAATTCACAAAATAAAAAAATGCAGTGGAGCACTTCCTGTATTAACAAACAGTGTTTTTTTTTTGTTTTTCTTTCCTGTTTTAAATATTTACTTAAAAAAAAAATATATATATATATATTATATTTTAAATATGTCAATAAAACAAAAGGATTGTATGAAATAAATATGAATCATAGTCTGAAACAAGACTAAACCAGGGCTAAGCCAGGACTGAACCAGGACTAAAACAGGACTGAACCAGGTCTAAATTAGGTCTAAACCAGGACTAAACCAGGACTAATCTTGGACTTGAGAGACAGAGAAAGAGAGAACCCTGAGCCCGTGGAGCAAGGTGTCCGCAAAGCACGATCGGGTGGCTGAGCTTAGCTCCGTGAGGCGCGGAGCTCTGCGCCGGTCCTTTCTCCTGTGGTCACGCGATGGGCTACACGGGTGCAGCTCCAGGCCCGTCCCGACACTCAGTTCTGGTTCAGTCCTGGTTTAGTCCTGGTTTCATCCTGGTTCAGTCCTGGTTCAGTCCTGGTCCCTCATGTCTCAGGTCACTACAGGACAGTACTGCAGATATCATGAGCCTATGCAGCTTGTTTTCACAATTGCCAATAGCTCCGGTTTGACATTTATGTTGTAGCTATTTCATATTATTTTTTTATATCTCACGTTTCGAGAAGTGGGTGGACAGCATATCCCCGCATACAGCACTCACTACACCCCGATCATGTGTGATGCGCTGTGTAGTTGGCTTTATAGGAGGCTCATGAACAGTACTGTTGTATGCAGTATCGGTGTGAACAGCAATAATCTCACTGTACGGGGCAAGGCGTTTCCTTACTGTGCACATGGCTATACGCACTTTAAATCTTGAATCTATTACCCTGACGTTCAAATGTTTGCCCCCCCCAGCGCAAAAGTCAAACTCTGTCTATGCTAAATATGCAAGGCTTGTGTGTTTAACATAAAACTCCAGGCATGTTTTTGATGAGGGAACAACATTATAACATAGATCAGAAAATAACTTAAGATGGGCCCTTTAATGTCATTCTAAGCAACGCAATAATATCACCATGGAGACAAGCCAACATTCCTTTCTGATTTGTTCAAACTACTTTTAGAAACTAGCATTGAGTTTTCCATGACACCATTTAACACCAATCATACTTCCCTTCCTCTATCTCCTCTAGCTTTGTCCCCTCTGCACATCTTTGGCACCCTTGTACGCTGTCTTGTTCTTGCTTGTAATTTCCCACCACGCTACATTCTTTCCTTGAACTTTATAATCAGCATTTTAGCAGCTCAGTGTAAAGTCTGGTGTCATCCATTCTAAAACCGTGCCCCCTCTGCCTTGCCTTACAATATTGGGTTTATGCTCTACGGGGGTTGCCAGGGAACCGTCGTAGTAGGTTAGGATGGCTGGGTAAAGATGAGACAACCCCTGAATGCTAACAAGCGGTACATTGGCAAGAGGGGATTCGACGCCTGAACTCCGCATTATCCCACAGAGAGGAGTTGTTTTTTTAGTTGATGACGAGAAAAGATAGAATTGTTGAAACGATTTGAAAGAGATTGTATTGGTGCGGGGAAGACTATTTGCTGGTGTGTGGCACAAAGCTTTGTTTGGAACTGGGGAGCTTTTCTATCAAGATTTACTGATAGGACTCCATAGATGAATCTGTGGTCAAATGGAGAAGTATTGTGGATTGGGTGATCCGTTACTTTTTAAAGAAACTGTACTTTTGTAGCAGCGTACTTTTACTCCTACTTGAATGATATTTTTTATTCAATTAACAGTGCTCTTACTTGAGAAAAAAATTTGGGCACTCTTCCCACTCTAAGTCTACAAGTGATAAAAGCTTTACGCTGACAACATTAAATTATTTTTGTGTCTATCCTTAAAAAAAAAAAAAAAAAAAAAAAAACTGAAAAAATGCATTATTAAATATGTGCCCTTCAAATACATTCACTTCAAATTATAAGTCAGATGTTACACCCAGGCCATTACTGTGCCCTGTGGACAGTTACAGCCCACTGCAGATCCTTAGCTTTATTAGAAATATGATATTAATTTTGGTTGTTAAGGAATTCTCTTTGGTGTTAATGTTTGTACACATTAGCACAACTATATTTAGGGTGACAGTCGCTCAGGGGTTAGAGCGGTCAACTCAAAGATTAGGGGATTAGTTTCCATTTGGACCAAGTTCTTTTACTGTGTCCGTAGGCAAGACACAAATTATTATCTATTACTTGCTTCATAGCACTTCTGGTTAGATGCTAAACTGTATTTTGTTGCACTTTTGTACAAGTGTAACGACAATAAAGCTGAATCCGAAAGCATTCAAATTAGAACGTGCACTTTCACACTATGCCAATATGAGTATTTCCTGCTGACAAATCCAAATGCCCTTGTGTACTTACACAGCAGAGGGACACTGCAAGCTAGTGTTTTTTACTCTTATTTAAAATGCCCTTGTTTTGCTAATTCCCTTTCGTCTCTTTTGTCTGGCAGCACACCTTTCAACATCGCCTCGTTGCTTTAGTTCAAAACTCTGAATGTGAGCAAATCCACACATGTTCTTAACCGTACTTTCGGGTAAAAACATCAAAACAAGTAAGTCCCTGCTGTTCTAACAACCATAGACTCCATTAGGACATGGTGTAGACTCACATATGACACTAAAGTCACAGTATGTAACCTGCCATTCTCCATGGAAATGGTATTGATTTCCCTGGAAAGTATAGCATTAAATAAATCAGTTTCCAGGCAAGTAGATGACACCTCAGGTCAGATCTGTTTGACAAGCAATAAAAAAAAAAAAAAAAAAACTTGTAATAAAACTTGTATAAATGAATATACTGTAAATATGTTTAATGCTATAGAGTCATCAGGTGTGGTGGCACTTCTGGGTTCAAGGCGCATCAGTTAATTGAAAACAATGGACATGTTTACAATGTCCTTTTTTTTTTTTTTTTAGCACATCTCATGTTTGAAAGGGATTGCAGTTGGATAACAAGATAAATGTGAAGAAAAGTGTAGAAGTGAGGTAAAAGCTAAGCTAGTTTAAGAGGGCGTCAGTGGTGACAGGCAGACCGGCAGGCACATATGGATAATTTACATATTTAATATAGTTTGTGGTAAGCAATTGTCTCTTGTTTAATGAAAAACAAAGCTAGAAATCTGCTGTATTGCAGGATATCCCAGACAAAAAAAACATCTACATAGAGACAAGCATAAAAGTTATATAGTGCATGTTTAATTTACAGTTCAACAAATGCATAAAACTAAAGTGTACAAAAAGTATCAACGTGTCTCAGTTTGTATATAGCTAACGTTTTAGTCTTACTTGAGGTTGTGGATGCCGTCTGGAGTGGCTGGCACATTGTATCTCCTCATGTACTCGTGCATCTCGGGGAAGCTCTTTTTGACGTAGTCTTCAGCGCTGCTCTCTCTCACTGTGGCGAACCTGAAGCCCTGAGAGGGATGGTGCAACTGCCAGAAACAAAGAGGCACCTTCAGAAGTCTAAAGCAAAAACATTCACGTTCACTTTTCACCTGAGTACAGATGTTGTCACAACTTTATTCTTGCTAAGGAGTATTTAAACTTTTTCGATGTTAGTAGGCTTGAGAAAAAAAAAAAAAAAAAAAAAGCACATAGATTTGGAAATGTTTGTTCAGGCTTAAATAAAAAGCTTTTGAAAGAATTCATGTAATAGTGCCTTGAGGAAACATTCAGAAGACACCAATTTAAATCAGATACATTCAACTGCAGGTAAGATCTTTCACGCAGTGGGAAACTAAGACAATGGTAGTGGCTTAGGCTACGTTTATATGATGATGGTCTGAACAGAAGACACAAAAGTGGCGTCACGCATTTTTGGGAGGAAATCTGTGTGCATATGGTGACACAAAAGAGTGTGGAATTCGACTGGGTATGCCTGCCAGGCGACTAGGGGGTAATGTATGTGACGTAAATGTGTACACGATGTGAGCAGATCTGACCAGAGTTTTGTGTCTTGGGCAGTGTAGATAGAAACACTATGGTGGAGCTTATTCAACTTTTCCACTCTGGAGGTGGTTTCAGATTTAGGCGTTTTTAAGCCCCAATAACGTCATCACCGTCTAAACGAAAGGCACTTAAAGGGCACGATAAAATATTTTGTCGTTTTTACCTGCAAGTGTTCTTGTGTAAACAGGCCCTTAGCTTTTAGTGTCAGCAGCACAAAGGTTGGTGGTATTAATCCTGAGAAAACTGTTGTTGCGTCCTTGAACAAGACACTTTAAACACCTTGGTCCAGCATGAATTTGGTGTTTGAATGAGTGATTGGTATTTCACTCCATGGTTGTATGAGTAAAACAAAAAATATGTGAGGACTGTAAGCATTTTACTACAACTGTTATTACAGAATATGACTGAGAGTACTTTCTATGTGTGTTGAGTTCAATACTGTTTTTTTTTTTTTTTTTTTTTTTGTCAACCCTGTGCACCTGTGTGATTGGTCACATTTCACATTTCCACCAGTCAGCCCCAGGGAAAAAGTAGCACATTACCACAGTTGTTGTGAATGAATCATGTGGTGAGCAACCACCATGCAGTGCCCTTGGGACCCTCTCCAGATTTTTTCTAGGCACACGGTATGGAATACAAAGCTGGAGAATGACCCTAACGGGCTGTCCCTGATTTTTTATTTTCATGTAATAAAGTAAAACTGGTTTACGATATATTGTAAAAGCAGCTCTTATGGTCCAAATGAGATTCATGTGTCCTGTCTGCATCAAATTATGAAGTTCTTTTTCTTTTGTGCATGAGGCAATAACACTGTTATCATGCTAGTTGTTGTTAGCATTACCATGATGCTCTGCTCTGGCCTCTGAAGTAGTGACAAGCGATCAGAAACTTTTAATAATTAGCAATGTGAATAATTAATAAAGTGAATAATTAGCATGCTAGTCATGTGCTTACAGAGTGAGGAATCACTTTGGACCACTGCAAACCATGTCAAATGACCCAGTTCAGTTTTTCACATTAAAATCAGTCAAAGCACTTCTCTGTAGATGTACAAAACTGACAGTACCTTTGGGTCGTGTATCCCTGACAGCTGCTCGTAGGTCTTCTCTCCCACCATCACAGCGGCCAGGTTCGCTGTGTATGTGGACAGGCAGAACAGGCAGAAGATGGCCCATAGATTCATCAGCAGTCGACCAGTCCAGCACTTTGGGGTCTTGATGGCCACAGTGCGCCCAAACAATATGGCATAGCACACGTTGAGTGCGGAGGAGAAGGAGAAGACTTTGTCTCGGTTACGTCCTCGAGGCGTCATACCGAACGGACTGTGCCACTCATAGAGGGTGAGGAAGACTGCGGTGACATGCAGAGAGACGAAGATGCCCAACCACATGGACCAGTGCAGAGGCCACATGAAGGCGCCGATGGGGGCAGCTGTATCCCTCGTACGGACCTAGAGGAGGAGAAGGGGAGCTATGGATCAATAACAAATCCTTACAAAGGGTCTCTGTTATGCAAAATTGACTCTTGTGATCTTTAATCCATGTTATAAAAGCATGAAGTTGTGTCCTGTTTCATTCACATGTTTGAGTAACCCTTTATTATTAGTCTGTCCACATCTCCAAAGCTAAAAATGCTCTGTTCCACCTTGTGATGTCATGTAGTGGAAGTTTTCAAGTTAACAGCTACCCTTTCCTTTCAGTAGAGATTGGCACCTTTAGGACTGAAAGCATCCAAATGACTGTAGTGAAGGTGTATGGATTTTGAAAGCAACACCTGTATTGCCACATGACATCACAAGGTGGAACAGTGTTTTCCATTTGAGAGAAGAACTCAGCTTAACAAATGCAGTATTTCTGTATGTATATATGAATGGATGAAACAAAACACAACTCTGGGAATGTTTTTGATGAGGAAACATTATAACAGAGATCAGATACTTTACGCTGGAGGGTTGCAATCTGCTTTTATCCATTGTGATGTTTTTGCTTTCCCAAAAATGTCGTTGACTGCTTTCATGTTGGATTGTGTCATTTTCTATTCTTAGTTATCTGTGTATAGCATTTGTATAGATCTGACACCATTACGTGTTTGTATCTGCTGTCTCTCCTTGAAGTATGTGTGAGACCTGCACAAAAATGCGTCTTTGGTTGTGGCTCTTTGGAATAACAATGAAAATTTCAGTGTGAACAGCTGGTTGTAATTTTCAAAAAGATGGTGAAATATTGAATGGCAGACGGTGACACAATGTTCACCCACTAACTGGAGGCTTGGCCATTTAGATAAAATTGTTCAAGAAATAAGTCAAATGCTTTCTTATTGATGTGTGTAGGTTAATATATATAAACAATTTAAGGAACCCATATTTCATTATTTTCTGATCTATGTTCTCATCCCAAACATCTGGAGTTGTGTTTTGATTTTTTATGCTGAGTTCTTCTCTCAAACGGAAAAGACTCCAACTATCCATCTTGTGATGTCATGTTGTAATACATTAAGTGTTTTTGAACTCCATACACCTTCACTAGAATCATTTGGATGATTTCAGCCCTAGAATTTCCAATCTCTACTGACCTAAAAGCAAAAGGTCAGTTTGAAAACTACCTCTTCGTGACATCACAAGGTGGAACAGAGCATTTTGAGCTTTGGAGATATAGACCCTGTTTACACTGAAACAAATCCCTGTATCAACATATCACCATATCAGAAATGATCTGTGTCCAGACATGTCGTTTCTGTATCCGCAATCAAAGCCTTCCCTGTCCACACAGTAACACAAAACCACCTGAGATACTAGTCACGTGATAGGCTGGTGTCATGTTGTCACGACGTCCTGACGTCACATGAGCGGTAAAAACGAAGGAAGTCTGAAGTTGCAGCAGCTGCTTTTGAGCCGAGGGAGAAGTGTAAAAATTTTCTTTTTGTGGACCGATGACGAGGTTCAGTTGTTACTTACCTTAACACTGGATTTTAAAATGAGCATGGTGGCTCAGATTGTGGACTGACTCGTTTCTGTGTCCGCAAGCCTTCCCTTTCCACACAGTTTTGAGCATATTTGTTTATATTTTACAGAAACGAAACTTAAAACCTAATTTGCATAAACTGAGCACTCAAAAAACAGCTCGCTGTTGTGCGCTGATGTGGTTCAGCTTCTGTCGGACTAAAGGACACAACTCAGTGGAATATATGTGTTCTTTCTGTGACAGAGGGGTGTTCTGCTAATGGTAAGTCTGTTCTGTGCTTCTATAGTGTTGGAGATGGTTCATGTTAAACTTTTCAGAGATTATACTTCTGCAGGTCATACGCATAGACCGTATATATGAATGGACATATATTCCAACCTCTTGGCGTTTTGGTGGTGAATTAGCCTACTTCGCGGCGCATACATCTACATCAGTGTATCAGTGTTTTCAGGCATCCACATGGTGCCGGATCAGATCCGTACTCAGATGAATTCATGGGAGCTGGCAGCACCATCTCTGGAGTCGTTTCCAATCAGATTAGTGTGGATAAACACTGCATCCGCCACGAAAACGACTCGAATACGTACTAGTGTGGACGAGGCCATAGACAGACTAATAATAAAACGTTACTCAAACATGTGCGAATGAAACAAAACACAACTCTAGGTATGTTTTTGAGGAGATAACAACATGGCTTAAAACTCACAAGAGTCCAGTTTGTGTAATTTAAGACCTTTAAAGATGCATTAAAGGTGTGCATTACATTTTACAAGGGACAAAGTTATGCTGATTGATTGAATAAATAAACAAATAACGACAAATAAACAAACAAACCAGTGTGTGCAGCCAATCAGAATTCAAACAGCGCTAACATGGTTCAGTCCAATAACATTATTTTCTCTAATCACACGTGCTCAGGGCCTCGCAGCTGAAAATCTCACCTCTTTCCAAAGGTTAAACACACAAGGACAGATCTGTACCGCTCCCTCCTCTGCTCTGATGATGCATTTATGGACTCTGGGTATTTACCAGTCCCGAAGCATGGCTAATTTAACAGCCCTGCTCATTAATATATACAGTTACACCACATACACAATTACACTACACTACTGAATGCTTTTCTTGAGTTTAAACCTGTAGCCGCACAATCCAATCTTAATCAGGTTAGCGAAACATCGATCTACTTTCTCAATTTGTATGTAAACTAAAAAATCACTCTCTAGTTAATTTGCACACACACACATTTGTTTTGTTAGGGGAGATGAGAATGAACAGTCGCCGTAGTAGACTCTGGTCACCCTGAATAGGAGGTCTGGTTTGATTGGATGGGGGCCCTTGGGTGGCCCTGGGATGTGATGTGAATGTGCAATGGACCAAAGCTGGAAAACAAACAAAAAACTGTACAGGAAAAGGTGTATATAATGACAAACTAGGAGGGGCAAAAATAGGTCAGTGGTGAATATTGTGGAATAGAATATAGTGTACTATCTGCTGTAAACACTGTAAACATAATTTGAAGAGCTTCCACACAGTTTTTGAGATGCATGTTTGAGTAATCCCTTATTATAGTCTGTTCAAATCTCCAAAGATCAGAATGTTCTGTTACACTTTGTGACATCATGTAGAGGCAGTTTTCAAGTTGATATGTATTTATTGTAATATGTAATATGTATTTTTATATGTAGTATATAAAACAAAGACACCTGACATGGCAAATTATGTGACAACTTGTATTTTCAATTACTAACATATAGAATCGCCTTGTAAGGATTATCGAAGATAAATCTGGGCCTGAAACCGTCTGACCTTGCAGCATTAGGATTCGTTCGCTTGACAGTAGGCGGGTACTTTTGTTATTTAACCAATCGCTGCTATTTGGACGTGACATATGTAATGCGCCAAATCCCATAGGAAGAAGGGCAATAATGTCTTTCCCCTTGATAAAATTCACCAAACATTCTCTTTGTTCCGGCTTTAAATCCTTCGATCATCATGGAATCGTTGCCAACACAGAATGTATGGCTTCATCTACATCCATCTCGACCTCTTTGTTTACTGTAACTTGAGTTTGATGTTATGCCTTCACAGCTCTTCGCTGATTGGCCGGTGCGTGTTCTACAACTTCCAGGGTTCTTGCAAACCGTCTAGTGTATTCTGATTCCTGACCTTAAGCAGAGGTACTAGGTGGCGCCAGCCTGGCTAAGATAAATCACTGATCACGTTATAATAGTGTCTTAAGAACTAAAGAAAAATCTCAAATTAAAATTGTTTTTTGGATTCCAGATGTTTTATTATAACTTTGAAAGGAATACAAAAATAAAAATAAAAGTAAGTAAGATGTCCACAAAATGCCTTTTCTACTTTGGCTCAAATTCAATACAACATCATAAAGACTGATGCCCTGATCCTGACTGCCGTCGGTCAGTTAGGTCAGGTTCCATAATAATAATTGGTGTAATAGGGTCACTCCACACAGCTGTACACTCACCCCTCAGCCCATAAGAGGAATTGCATTACAATCCAATAAGCAAAGGCCGACAGTAATAAAACTCTGCTCTATTGATATAAGGCAGCAGCATACCAATGGGGCTGAGGTGAGGTGAGGTCAGTGGCTGTGAGAGGTGGAGGAGGGGCCAAGGTGGAACATTGACCAAAGAGGAACAGAGCAAAAATGTCAATATTGAATACATTTTAAATGTGTGGATTTATTTTGAGATGTCAAGGAATAATGGCCTCTTGCACTACTTGAAATAAGAGTAAATAAGTAATAAATAAGAAATAAGAGTAAAATAAATCTTTATAATCTTGTGTAACTGTTTTTCAAAAGCTCAAATTCACTTTACAGTTTGGTTTATTATTCAACCATTCCACATTAGGTGGTGGTAAGCTAGTACCACACCTGCCCTTTGGTAGACTAAAGGAAACAGAGCTGCTGATCTGCACCATGGCCCCTCAGATCACCAGCAACTCTCACACCACATTCATACGAAGCAAGGTGGGTCATGTGTCTTGCCTAAGGACACAACAATGGTTTGCACTGGAGCCATTCCACTACAGCACAGTGGTCTCCTATTTAAGTACCAGGCCTTAACCCAGCCTAGCCTTAGATCAGAGACCAGCCGAAACTAGGTATTGACAGGGTGATGTGGCCAATTTTTCACCTATTTGTATTTGAAACAGGAAAAGGTCCAGTAACAATCAAATCTATTCAGGTACTACTTCATTAAAGACATTAATATATTTAATTTCAGTCATTCTTTCTTATTAAAAAGTGTAACCTTTTTAGGAGGAGGGTATGCCAACTGCTTGTTTCCACAGAGATGTTGTTATTTAGTCAAAAATGTTCCACAGTTCCATGAAACCCTGCTCTGAATGTCATTATTGTGCTTAGGTTTACACCAGAGTTATTTATGTTGTTGTTGGATAGGGTATTGCTCCTTTTTTATTGTACTTTATATCAAACTTGTCATTGTTTGATGCTATGACAATGACAATAAAATCTTGAGACTTGAATCCCTGCTCAGTCAGAATGCATTTCATTTGGCAATAAAACATGTGCAATCGAATGAATGCAGTTAAATCTCATGCCATACTATTGGACTTCCCAGGGATAAAAGAATAACATCTCCATAGAGACAAGCAGGTGGCAGACTATCAGTATTAAAGTTACATAGTGTAGATATGATAATGAGGCAGTACTGACCAGAATTCCCAAACTGGTGGAGAAGAAGGGTGAGGTGAAGTCTATGACCTGGCTCCTGGCTGAATTAATGCTGAAGGAGGTCACAGCCAGGTGAGCAGCTCCACTCAGAAGATCCCCCACCAGCCCTGTCCAGCGGCCATTTTTGAATCCTCCATACTTCCCATCACCCACAATATAGAGGTCAAAGGTGAAGCCCATGTCTTCTGCCAGCTTCTCCAACAAATCAATACAATATCCATAGCAGCATTTTTTCAGCTCTGTCGGTACAGATCCGTTAGGTCCGGCCAGGTTTTGAAAAAGGCCTTCCAGAACTGAGGATTCATTGGTGAGTGGGTCAAGGCACAGCTGGCCCGCGGGACACTGGCCGTCCCCGTCCACCTCCCGGGTGAAGACAAACGGGTGTTCCACCAGAGTGACCACCCGCATGTGCAGCCGGGTGGACCTCCTCCAGTCCCCCCCTCCCCCTGAGCCGTGGTGTCCGGGCCATGCCCCTTGGTCCTTGAGGACTCGGCCCCTCCGCCAGCGCCCCAGTCGTGTCCACGTGGGCTGTCCCAGAGGGTCCAGCTGCAGAGACCAGATGTAGTGATGTGCCTCCGACTGGATGTTCTGTGTCCCGGGCTCTTTGGAGATAAGACCGCTCTGGCCTTCGAATGTGGTGTTGGAGATGAATCTGAGGAGAGACACAAAGGAATCAGGTTTTAAAAATAGGATCATTTTCAGGAACAAATCTTTCACTGGGGGTCAGAGTTACACAGTTACCGTGGTGACACAATACACAAATAAGGAAATATAGCCACATGATGTTTTAGGGGGTCTGAAAATGCATGAAAAATACACAAATTAAATGAAATTAAACTATGCATTTTCTTGGTCTTGAGTGTTCACTGTCCCATTTAAGTCTTTGTTTGTTAGTCTTCAATCTAGTATAGAACAGAATAATATAATATAGCACAGTATAGTATAGTATAGTATGATATGCTGAAGTAAAGTATAGTATAATAAAGTATAGCATTTAACTTCCATGGATAATTTAGACCAGGTGCAGAATTCAAATAAAGTTCAAGTGTGAGCTTAAGTCTACAAACAACTATAATCCATTGAGGGCTAAGAGCAATGCTACAGTACATTTCCAAGAAGGACAAATATCAAAATAGGAAAAGAGAAAATAGTGTTGTGCTGATACTTTGGCCAGGTCTGTCTTGAAAAACACCTCCTGGTTCAATAAAGGTGAAACATAATTTATAAACATGATTTTTGTCCCCAGGTACGAGGTAGACATAAATCATAAATTGTAATCTAATTGTAGCTTTAGCTAACAACAATTGTATTGCTGATTTATTGTAAAATACATGATGATTGTTATGATGGCCAAGTTGTTTATGTTATAATTTGGTGTTTTGTTCTCAAGATAATTATCCATTCAGAAATCAAAATGAACCCCACATGAGTCTCTTGTTTGGGTTGCCAGTTTCAATGCTGAAATCCAGATGGTGTAAACCCAAAATGCCACTCTCAGATCTGAATGGTCACTACCTAAACCCCCGCACCAGCGGCCTATCATTATCATTGCTAGTGCAGCTAGTGCAGGAGGCTCTGAGTTTTCACATGAGACTTGGCCTGTCCATATAGGAATGAGGAAAACATGTATGTGTCCTCTATATACATGGTAAGACTCTGGCACCACAGATTCAGACATGTCAGAACTAAACATGTTGTTCAAAAAACAAATTAATATCTCTCTCTATATATATTAAATATGATGGTTTTGGATTTGGTGTTGAATCTCCACAGTTATGTCTCTGTATAAAGAGACAAGCAGGACAAACAGATACATAGCCTGACACTGAGACACATGCGGTGCACACCTGTCTCCTCTCGCCCAACCTCCTCTAAACCGTACAAGGTCAGCATGAGCACAGCATGAGCTCAGCCTGCAGCAACGGGGACAGACGAGGACTAGTCTGGACATTCAACACCACGGACAGAGACACAGAGAGAGAGAGAGGGAGGTAGAGAGAAAGAGAGGGAGGGAGAAAGAGAGGAAGAGAGAGAAAGACAGAGAGAGAGAGAGAGAGAGAGAGAGAAGAGTATATTCAGCACCACAGACAGAAACAGAGAGTATGATTCAGCACTACGGATGGAAACGTAGAGAGGTAGAGAGTGGTAGAGAGAAAGAGAGAGAGAGAGAGAGAGAGAGAGAGAGAAACAGAGTATGTTCAGCACTACCGACGGAGACATAGACAGAGAGAGAGAGAGAGAGATTGAGATTGAGACTGAGTGAGAGAGAGAGAAAGAGCAGACAGACAGAAATAGTATGTTCAGCACCACAGACAGCGACATAAAAAGAGAGAGAAAGAGAAAGAAACAAAGAGAGAGAGAGAGTATGTTCAGCACTACAGATGATAACGCAGAGACATAGAGAAAGAGAGAGAGCAAGAGACACCGAGAGTCAGTGAGAGAGTATTTTCAGCACCATGGACAAGGGGAGAAGGAGACCATATTTTCAGCACCCTGGACAGAGACAGACAGCGATATAAAACGCAAATACACCTTGTTTGCACTAAAAATGCCTAAAGAATTAAGAACAGTCGACAATGATATTAAAAGAAAATTGTGTAATCTTTCTGGAGGAGGGTCCATCACCTGCTTGATTCTATGGATATACCATTGCTCCACAGTATGACATTAAACAGCACTACCTTACATTTATTCAATTGTAGATTGTTTTTATACCTAAAAAATACATATGAAAAACAGGCATTCTGAGCATTCTGTGAGCGAGGTTGCTTCTCCACAAATCTGATCTGTAACTTGGTCTGGTTTGGGCTCAGTGAAAATAGAACGGTTTAATGCCATACTGTGAAACATTCCAGACAAAGCAATAACACCTCAATGGAGAAAATTATTTGATGGGTCCTCCAATGCACTTTTATATTTTTTAGATTTCCACCACAAATACACCACACATTTTTACTACTTACAACATCAGATTTGTATTTTGGGCTGATTTAATGCTCCTGTCACCTGCCGTTTATTAGAACAGATCACCGTGTTTACATTGGACACAGTTTAGAGGGCTCCCTGCTTCAGTGCAAGGCTTTATTATGTGAGTGACCTCAGCAGCTGTCCAGAAAGCATCAGTGTGTGTGACAGGAGCAGACAGACCACGGGCCACTGATCGTAGCAGCCATCACACAGAGCCTCAGTGCTGCTATCTGAGCCCGGAAGATACCGCAGAGTACACAGAGACACATGCTAATACACAGTTCACAGACAAAATAACTGGGTGTAATGGACAGCAGAAATTACTCCTATAGGTGAACTTTGTAATCTAGTCATTCGTCACAATTCGACAGGTATTAACACTTTGCCTAGAATGTTACTGAGTATGGCGTTAAACTATAGACTGTATATTTACGTACATGGACATAGCTAACCCACTAGTCACCGTCCAGTTCCAAATTAGATGTGAACAAGACTCTGTTTCCAATTGACTTTGCATTAGAAAATTGTCTTTGCAATTTTGGTCGTAAAATGTTCCTATTAACCTACTCTACATGATCCTGGTATTTTTATTTTGTTATTTTCCCCATAAATACATTTCTATTTCTAATATGGACCTGGCTCCAATTTTGCTCCTATAAATGCCAGCCTCATGAGCTTCATTTGACTGGAGCCAAACACTAAAACTGACATCCCAGTCCTTTAGGTAGTTGTCTTGCTGAAATAGGTGGGGCATTTCTGTCCGTTTAAATGCGGTAGTGTGTGTGTTTCCATTGCAGTTTTCTTTTGGGAACTCTGTATATTATTAATACAAAAACATTTGCAGAGTCTAATCTCTGGGGCCAAGGCTGAAACACTGAAACAGTCCTGGTGTAATCACGGTTGTATCAATACTTATATTAACTTTAGGAACAACTTGGGGCTAAGGGAACAAACAATAGGATAATATTATAGGATTTAAAAAAGTGTCCTCTCCTTAGATAATTCATCTGCCTGAACTAATTTCCTGTTGTAGAAAAAATATTATATCTATCTTGATGATAATAAGCCATTAGTGAAGCCTTGGTGAGTTATGAAATGCAAAAGGGTTCTTTGTTACAACAGATAGGACAAGACAGGGCCTGGCCTGTCCTGGCTACCACCCAACAGCCTCTCTGAATCCCAAGTAAATCTCTCCCAGGCTCTCCCCAGAGCATCTGAACTCAGAGGATTTACAAAGCATAATTACAAAGTGACATATCAAAGCACAGTCAACTTTTACACTTGAAAACTTGACGGATGACAGTGTCTGTGTCTCTGACAAACACACAGAAAAAATGCATCTACACAAAGACATATAAAAATATTTTCTTCATAGTGCGAATACATATACATTTCTAGGGCTGGGTATCATTAAGAAGTCGCCGATACGATACATGCCTCGATACTTAGGCCACAATACGATACATACCTTGATAAAGTGAACTTTCAAATCGATTCAGTATAGTTCGATAAAAATAAAGGCTAAATCATGGCTGTGACACAAAAAGTCTTTGTTAAACCACTTCTTGTGCAAAGTTCACATGAAACACGTCCATTTTAGTCATCAAAACAGTGAAAATGTCAAATGTGTTGCATAAACAAGTTTTCTTCCACTAAACTAAGCAACAAAACTGTAGCTCTGTAACAAAATAATTGAGTAAAATATACCAAAAGATACTCTTGGCGATATATTGATACAGCAACCCACAATATCGATACTGTATCATCACATTAAGCAAAACGATATATTGAATATTTCAATATTTTTGCACATCCCTATACATTTCCATTCCCATTTTAGATTTTTTTCCATAAGTTGTATTTATAGTAGAATCTATAAAATCGCTTTTCTGAGCAAATGGTAAATGGCCACATTTGTCACAGCGCTTATTCACTCAAAACCCTTTACATCAAGGAACCACTCACCTGTTCACACACACATTCATACAACAGTGTATTAACACGAAATGCAAGGTGGGTTAAGTGTCTTGCTCAAGGACACAACGACAACATTCATCTGTGAGAACTGAAATCGCACCACCAACCTGAACTACCACTGAACTAAAAACCTGAATATAAGAAATGTACTTAAAACACAAAAGGTCAGTAGAGCAAAGCATGGGGCACAGTCTGATTCCCTCCAGAGCCTCTTTAAGAAGTTCAAAACTTTCTGACAGTTCAACCAGACTTTATGAAGGTTAACATCTTGTACATGGTAACCTTTAACCTACAACGCTGTCATCCTACTTACTGTACACAAAGCAACTCTGGTGACACACCGTTCTACATCGCCAGTGGAGCGCAGAGAACAATTTCATGTTAAAAAAAAAAAAAAAAAAAAAAAAGATTACACAAAATGTCAGATTCTTTCAAAAGGCCGTGTATATGCTAGGAGATAATTCGAGTTGTTGAAGCGAAACATCAATAACATTTTAGCGTATAGATGTAGAAGTACTTTGAGATCAGTAGAGCCTGGCAGCACTGCGGAGTTAGTATGAGAAGACAGCTTCCCCCGAGCTGGAAAATCTGATGCTTTACTTGCTCTTTCCATCCGCTGTTACTTTTACATCATTGCACAAAAAGTTGACAGAAGCCGCGAGGGGTAAAGCAGAGTTGTGTGATATATTGTAATCAAATCGAAGTTGC